AAAACACAAAACAAAAAAGATGAAAGAGAGAGATTAAAAGGAAATATCTAGGAGTCGGAACTATATTAAGGAATTAATTCCTTTTTCAAAAAGGAACGAGAAAGATCGATCCGCTACGTGAACTAGATTGCCCAATTCTAAAAAAAAACAGACAAACAAAGTTATTGGTCAATTTCATCCCCTAAATATTAAGCGATCTTTAGTAAAAATAATAGGGGCCTTCTTTGGCAACAGTCCATGACGATTAGACGATTAATTGTGGCCTGCATCGTGTTTACAAATTATAGTTGACAGACGTACGGTCACACATATCTAGATCAACACAACTGGTCGAGATATGATGATTGGTATACTAAAAGTTGGGTCTAGGACCAATATTTCGCGACTACCCTTACAACATAGTTGTGTAGGGTATAATAACAGTCCCTGTGTTTTACTCAAATCCGTTCAGATTTAGATATAGCCTCATACATATTATCCTACTTTTTGTCCGGTCAAATTGATAGCTATGCTGTTTAATTCTATATAAATTACAAGGATTCAATGAGAAATATAAAGCCTTACAACAACAACCAAAATTACTTTGTAAACAAATTTTAAATCAGGAACTTTAACTTCGTAAAAATAATAATTGATTTACCAAACATCATTTTCAATATTCTTCATGTAGCTCATTATGCAATGGCAAAGATGCCAAGGCAAAGATTATACACAGTTATAAATGTGGTGTCACACAAAATGTATTTAAACACATTCGTCTAATCTGATGTGATCATTCAATTTAATTTATATACCAATCCAGTCCATTTATAGTTGAATCTATTTTCGTATTCTAAAATACCATAAATGCAACCGATTGACCACACAAGAAAAAAAAAAACGCTAATAAAAATGTGAATGTCTAGATTTGTTAAATGTTAACGAATTCCACTGACTGATTAGTGTATAAAGTGTTCTGCTATATAATTTATTAACTGTTCTACAAGGACGTTCATTAGTTGACCTCATTGTAGAAGAGAATGTTTGAGTTTGTTTTACTTTTTTTTAGTTGTTGTTATTTATTTGCAGACATTCAGTATTTCTTTGTTAAACGATTGCAATTGCCTTCAATGGGGGGAAAACGTAAAACCAGAAATAGAAATAGTAAAAATGCACACCCAGCTAAGTACATATTGCCAAGCTGTACACAGTCTCTGTGAAATGTGCGTTTTAATTACCCGCCCTTTCACTTTTTCTAGCTGCTGCTGTTGGTTGGCCAATGACTTGAAATAGAAATGGAAATCAGAGAAAGACACAACAACAAAAACACCTCTTTTTTTTTGCTCGACAACAAGAGAAAAATTGAAACTGCAATCAACACCAACGCCGCATATCGTGATCAATGTCATTCAGGAAGAAAATTATTCATTACAATGAATATTTAATTACATAAAAAATCCGAACAAACAACTTCAATGTGCTAGCTGGCCATCTAGCCAGCCAACCAGCCAGCAATGCATTAACACTATGCTACCCGTTAGTGGAGATAAAAAGAAAGAAAAAAATCAAACAGAAACAGATGTAGAAGCATTAGATTTTACGAGGACCAGATGGGTTTAGTTCAGTAAATAATTATTATATTCAGTGCCAATATATTATATTATTATATTGGCACTGACAAAATATAATATTTAAAGAAAATCCAATTTATATTTTAGTGTCTTAAATATTGAGATAGATAGCCTTAATTTTGAACAGAGGGGTGCTTTTATTGCAGACTTTTTATTTTCAAAGTTGAAGATATATCAACCCACATTTATGAATCTCATCCATATAACGGAACCTCCGGATTTTTTACGTTTGACACATATATAAAAATATATAATATAGATCCACGTTTATGTCATAGCATTATACCCCTCACCACACTGTTGTACAGGGTATTATGTATTTGCGGGTGTTTGTAACGCGTAAAAGGAAACGAGATAGACACATGGTTCCTTTTGAATTGACACAAAATTGTGTACAGCGTACTAAATTAGGTCAAGATTGATGTATGTTAGGACACATCTGCTTCTTATACACAAAGTGGTGAATGGTATCATATAGTCGGCCCCGTCCGATTTTACTACTTTCCTTACTGGTTTTACATTAACGTAGACTCAGCATATGCATAAATAAACTATGGAGGTCAATATCATGAAAAGTTTGCAACGACAAATCAATAAATCTAAAGCAATTAAATTTTTCTCATATACTTTAATAATTCCGGAGTTATAAAGCTTTCAGCTATGTTAAACCAGTAAGGAAAGTAATAAAGTCGGACTGGGCCGACTATATGATGCCTTTAACCACTTTGGGTATATTCTACATATATATCCTAACAGACGTCGCGTCTTTGTTATATATCTATATCTGAACCGATTTCAGGGAAACATTCTAGACAGTACGCTATGTCAAAATTCGTGCCAATGAAAAGATTTCTATTTACCTAAAATCGGGCGAAACTATATAGCTATATCTAAATCTGAAGCGATTTTTACGAAACTTTGCAAACATCATTCTAGACTTAATTCAGTACTCTGTGCCAAATTTCGTGCAAATCGAAATATATATAGGGACTTTGGTACACAATTTACCTCAAATCGGACGAAAATATATATGGGAGCTATATCTAAATCTGAACCGATTTTTTTCCAATTTCAATAGGTTTCGTCCTTGGGCCAAACAAATGAGCTGTGCCAAATTTCATCCAATTCGAATCATAAATGCGACCTGTACTTTGTTTACTATTTAACATGGACAGACAGACGGACGGACATGCCTTAATCAACTCAGAAAGTGATTCTATGCATATTCTCAAAAGGAACCATGGGTCTATCTCGATTTTTTTTTTTTTTTTTATGCACAAAGACACAGTGTGTGAAGGGTATAAAAATTGGCTTTATTGCCCATAAATATTTTTTACGACTTTATAATTGAAAGACGCTGTACTGGAGCATACCAATTGGCACATATCAATTTTTCAAATCGATCCTGAATTACTTATAGCTCACATACATTGGTGGCTGAAACTAAATCAACCTCGTTCAATGCCTCGTAGGTGTGCTGCCATAATCAACTGTCGATTACTACCTAAATTTATTTATTTAAAAGAAGAAATCACAAAGTTGCTTTAGTTTTGACCAAGGAAAATTGAGTCTATTTAGTAGTTTTTCATAGAATTTTTTTTTTAATTAATTTTGCATATACATATATATTTTATTTGTCAAAAGCGAATAAATTTAATATTATTTCTAAAAAATCTTCACTATAAGTTTATTTTTAAAGGTAATTTATTCAGTTTGCAATTTCAGTTGTTATAGTTTTGGCCACCGGTGTACATAATTTTGCTCGATATCATACAAATGGTACACTTAGTGTGAATCTATATCGAACTAAAATGTCTTGGCTGTATATTTTAAAACAAATCCCCCTATAATTATGGTACGACCCTCGTTCGAATATCTCTATGATTTAAATTCAAATCTGTTTTAAAGTTTTCTATGCACCCACATGTTAAAAAGACAATAAAATGGTAATACGGTACTGTATAAAACATACTCGTATGTACATATGCAGCATATGTAACTAACTGATGGAGGAAGTAGCAATGTTACGGTTTTAAACTACTTTTAATAAATGGTTAAAGTTTCGAACTCTACTATTTATTTGCATAAAGCCATTGTATGTTAAATATAAAAAAAATGCCAACCGCTAATGTCAAAAAGAAGCAGATAAAATAAAAAAATATATTATGTATGTTAACATGGGTTAACAACAAAATTAAACATACATACAAAATATATTTGTTTAATATAATAGCCTAGACAGACGACTGCCTTAATTTGAATTAACAGCCTTAATTCAAATTAACTTGTACATTATCCTCATTTTTAATGCACAAAATCAAACTGAATTTATACTGAATTAACCAATTTCAATATGGCAATGCTGTCGAAAATCAATTAATTGTTGTCAAATTTGTTTACGTTTACAAAAATAAAAATTATAAATAAAGGCAAATCTCAACATTCTTTCAAATTAGGAGCTGTTTTGCAACATCCTAGCTGCTATTCTTCCTTTATGCCATGTATATATTCTTAAAGATCCAATCCCGAAAAATATTGGAAACGAATGCCAACATCTTGAACATCTACATACAGACAAACAATTGTTTTGAATCAAAAAAATTGTTTTGTAAATGCAGAAACTATCATCTGTCAGGGGTAAATATTAATTCAAATTAAGAATTTTTTAATGCAAATTAAGGCTGTCGTCTGTCTATGGTATAACTTCCAAAAGTGTAAGAAATTATTTGCAGCGTTTAATAATATAGCTTATGAGAATATCATATCCCAAATATATTTTATTGATATCGACTATTAAATAATGTCATTTGAACAGCATGGTTATAAATGATTCCGACTGTAGGACTAGTATATAATTCGAGTAATATTTTTTCTTCTGTTTGCTTCGCTCATACATAGACTTAGCGGAAGACAAATCTTTCCGCCAGACAAAGTTGTTATTACTATTGTAAAATTGATGCCAATAGTAATTTAATACCATCCATACTCAGTATTCAATACCATTAACCACGATCATAACAAAAAATTAGATGTAAAGGGGACATATCAATTCACTGTCAAGTCAACGTCTCATTACCTCAATCGTTGCATATATATTACATATGCCACATTGTAAGTAATGCAGTAGTGAACGCACATGTATATGTAATATACAATATAGTGGTATAGTAATTACAGTCGACTCCGCTTTACTGTAAGTCGCATAACTGAAAAATGTCGGATAAGTGGAATTGATTTCCTGCATCATTAAATTTTAGGTTAATCGCCCACAATTTACTCCGCATAAGTGAAACTTCGCATAACTGAAAATATCGGATAACTGAAATAGCTTTTGGAGTCAAATACTCCAATTTCCTTTCAAATCACTCCATATTACTGAAAATTGTGAGAATGAAGGATAATTACAAAATATTTTGTATTGAGGAATACACATCTTCAAAGCCCACCCTAACAGATATTTTGCTGCAATTAATGATTTTTCAACGTATGGAACGTATCAGGTATATATAAATTTGACGTCGAAGAACGTTAAGTTCGTTCGGCCAAACAATTTGGAAAATTCAAAAAATCTCCGTTCCGCATTTCTATATTTTATTACAAGTAACAAAGATGTACCAAAATATGTTACATAATATACCGTTCATAGGGGAAATGCGAAAACGACAAAATTAACAAAATTTTGAGGAGGTCCTCCACTTTTAACTACACTATGTTATTATTAAGGCCTTCAAGATGATAACCGAATTTTAAATAGGAACAATGTAAACATATGACTCTATAATTAAAAATTTTGCAAGGAAGAATGTTACTCATTTACAACCCCATATTACAGGCAAGTCAGCTATTAAAAAGACTTAAATCGGCTAGTATGAAACCTTACGCATAAAAATACTGTTCATAATAAAAATCCTTTGAGCAGTGAACATGTCAACCAGTTTCAATTTCTATCGTCTATTTTCATAAAATTAGAGACCTACGAATTCGATATGAACATGAATTATATCTTGAAAATGTTTCTCTTATAAGATGTTCGGATAACTGAAATTATTTTCAGTTAACCGAACTCCGCTTAAGTGAAAACATCGGATAACTGAAACAAACATCCAGATTTTTTCCGTTTCAGTAATGCGGAGTCGACTGTATTTCAATTGGATTTCTTTTTTGGATGGATTTGTATAAAATTGTAAGGCACTTGAAAATACTGTTTTCAAAAATAGAAAATAAATAAAATGATATTCACTGGGTTTCACAAGGTAGGCTTAGTTAAATTGTATCATAGCTCAACGCCTGGGATGCATAATCATCAAATTTGTCCAACTATGATTTAACATGCTTCGGAATGTTCGATTTAGGCCCTAGATACCAATTTTTTATCATTAAAGAAATTTTGCAATGCAAGAAAAATATGATAATCGCTTGGTGCCAAATCTGGACTGTATGGCGGAAGCTTCCGAAGTTTTTGGCGAGTCGCTGTAGCTAGCGTTGTCCTGGTGGAACACGACACCTCTCCTGTTTGACAATTCTGGCAGTTTCTGGTCAATTGCTATTTTCAAACGGTCCAGTTGTTGATAGTAGAGATCAGAATTTAGCGTTTGCCCATATGGAAGCAACTCATAAGAAGTAATCCCTTTCCAGTCCCATCAAATGCATAGCAGGCCGTTAGTCCTGGTTTTGGCCGCCGTTTTAAGTGCCTTTTGAACACGATCGTTTTCACACAGGTTTATCGCATGTGATCCATTTCTCATCTCCAGTCACCATCTCATTCCCTTTCGCCAAGGCTTGAATTGGATTGAAATTCAATACATCCTATTTTTTCTGTAATTGGCGTGGCACCCAAACATCGAGTTTCTGATTTAATACAGCTTTGTGAAAATTGTTTAAAACAGTTTTATGGTCGATTTTTAGCTCCTTGGCGATGTTACGACTGCTAACATGCCAGTCTACTTCGATCATTTCTCCGATTATATCGACATTTTCGACGACCGGCCTTGTGGATTTCTTTTTCCCCATCCTAGAAGTACCAGAAAAAGTGAATCAGTAGTCTACTATGAGCAATCTTTGGACCAAATCAAAGTCTGATACTGAGAGGGTACCAGAAAAATCGGCCAGGTCATCTCCATACTCGAAGTATGTTTATTAAATATATTGCTTAAAATAATTTAAGATTTATGATTTTTCGTAGATTAAGAAAAGGATAAATTCTTCCTGTACAATACATAAGGAAAGTAGAGGCAATTTGAAATTTCTGTTGTACGGAAGTGAAAATAATTTGGTACCTAAATAAATTGAATTATTTAAGAAACGGCGTTGCAAACCAGTGAGCTGAGCAGTATAGTTGGACAGTGCCGAATATATGATACAGTACGCAACTACCACTGAAGTCTAACCCTAAATAATGACCGGACATTATCAAAACAGCCATTCTCAATAGTAGACCAGAACCCTTTAACCTTGAAAAAAATTGTGATATTCTGTTTATAATTAAGCCCTCTATACAGACTAGAAAACCTGACAAAACTAACATTTTCGAGCCATTTCATATATATACGCCTTAGAATGAAAATTTTGTAATTTTTCACAAAAATGTCTGGGCTCGCTAAATATTTTGTAATTTTTCACAAAAATGTCGGGGCTCGCTAAATATTGACCAATCATCATGAAAATAGTCATTCATATTGTTCCAGGCTCCCTTCCTCGTGCAAAATTTCGTGGTGTTCGGGTCATAATTTTACTCTGTGGAGCGACCAGAGAGACAATTTCATAGACAGGCGGATGGACACATGTCTAGATCATCTACTCAGATATTAGAGAATATTTTGCAGCGTTACAAACTCTTGGGACACACTAAGCTGTAATACTCTTACAATACAGTTATGTAGCCTCCACATATCTGTAGTGTCAAATTAACTCTATTTGGTGTGTCTTATCTGGTTCTTAGTGAGTTAGAAACGTATTGGGTAATTATATATATATATATATAGTAGAGTTTTTATATATATTAGAGTTTTATCCGATTTTCAGTATTAAATCCTTCAATAGAGGATCCCTAATGCTACGGCATTCCTCTAATGCAATATTCTCAAACGTTTGTTTTTTACTTCAATTTGATATGAGTATTCATTTCGTTAAAAATATTACAGCAAAAATAATTTATTAATACTTAAGCCAAACACCGAGTTTTTATATTAATTTCAAAACTTTTTTGCATTTCAGCTTAAACGTTTGCTGATATTATCGCTATTGTGTGCCACCACAGTCTGTGCGCAAGATTATCAAGACTATCAAGAAAACACACCAAGACCTGCACCCATAAGACTGCGACCGAATACGGCACAGGAAGTGCCAAGACCGACACCGGTACCTATTCTAAAACAAATTAATAAGTAAGCAGACGAAAATTTTATTCAAATCCAATCTTATGCTATTGACAAATTCCGTTTCATTTTTTACATTTCAGGCACAATGAGGACGGTTCCTATACATATGGTTATGAAGGTGCTGATGGTTCTTTCAAAATAGAAACGAAATTGGCCACTGGCGAGGTAAAGGGTAAATACGGTTATGTAGATGAGACGGGTAAAGTGCGTGTCGTTGAATACGGCGCCAACAAATATGGTTTCCAGCCATCCGGTGAGGGTATAACTGTGGCACCACCCACATTAGTGGATGAAACTAGGCGTGAACCCGAACCAGACTATGAAGAGGAACCCGTTAATAGGCCACAGAGACCACAGGTGAGATGAAACAATGACGATTAAGGGTTTATTTATTTTATTAAATATATGTCCGTCTTTACAGCGCATTAACCGTCCTCAACCCCAGTATAGACCAGCTCCTCCACCACCGCCACCACCTCAACCACAACCTCGTCCCCAACCACAATATGTTCAATATGAGGATGAAGAATCAGAACCAGAGCCACCACGCAGACCCCAGTACGTCCCACAAAACATCCCAGCTCCCAAATCTGTAGGACCTGCTCCTCCAAGACTTCAAATCCCCGGAGCACAACGTACCACAGATGTTGTTTATTCACCAGTCCCAAAGATAGCACGTCCCGAACCCGATTATTCACAGAGCACATCATTTGGTGATGGTGGCGCATCAAATCTTCGCATTTCGCGTCCCGTCTATGCTCCAGCACCAGAGACTCCATCTCCATCCAGTGCTCGTGCTCAAGGTTTTCTGGGACCAGCATCTGGTGGCCGGCCACTTTTGGAACCATTCCAATTTGGACCCTCTCCAGCACCGCGACCAGTACCACAAGCCGTTCCCGTGCAACAACCCCGCTATCCTCAGCCTCAACCACAAAGTCGCAGTAGCGGAGGTGGTGGTAGTCTGCTAGATCAGTTAGCGCGTGATTATGCCCTTCCCGAGGGAACATCTCAGCCATTGCACGACATCTCATTTGGTTATTATTAGACGCGGGAGGACTCCGTTGTGGGTGGTTGACGCTGATCCGTCGGTCTTGTAGAGTCATCAAAGAGATTTTATGTTGTGTTTACAGTTATTGAGTTAAATAATATATGTTTTTTTTTAATGTAAGTTGATCATCAATACTTTTTGTGTACGAGACAAAACAACAATTCATTCAAAACAAAATCCATTGTTTATTCAATAAAGTATTTTGTGTGGACTTTGCCATTTTTGTGGTGAAATTAAAATAGAAAATGTGTATAATTATTTTCACCATGCGGTCTAGAGGTCATCATATCGGTCATAACTAGGCTCAATGGATTCATACCATGCTTAACGTTTTCTTCGATTATGTTGCGTTGTACATTATGACCTCTTGGCGAATGTTCGTCCGTCTGTGTGTCATTCGAAGAGAAAGCAGTTTTCTTACGAACGTTACCCATCATAATATTTCTTCCCAACTTAAATCAAGCTCGAAGAATGAGAACATCGGTCCATTCCTTCTGGTTAATTTTAATTTTGTAATATCATGCGAACGGAATATCCGATTTGAACCAAACTTTACATAACCTAAGGTTTTCACCTACCCTGTATAATGTTGTAAATCCTGTAAATAAGTGAGCGCAGCAGTATAGTCGGACGGGCTGACCATATGATATCCTACACAACTACCACGAAAATCTAACTTTCTGCCGTTCTATATTCTGAGCCTGGAAATATTTCGCGGTATTTGAACCCTCTTGACCAACTATAGGTCAACAGCTGGTTGCTTTTACCTCCGGAATATTGACCGACATCGTCAAAACAGCCGTTATAAGTATTTGGTCAGATACCCTTCACCGTGTAAAATATGTGATGTTATGCATATTATAATAGCCTCTAGAAAATAAAGTTTTTGGTTTATTCCACACCTAAATGTAGAAAATACTAAAAAAATGTAAAATATTAATACTAAACCATTAGCGGAGCATAATAGTTGGACGGGGCCGACCATACGATACCCTACACAAATACCACGGAACTCTAACTTTCTGCGGATGTTTATTCCGAGTCTGGGCAATATTTCGTGATATTGGCACCCTCTTGCCCGAATAGAAGTCAATAGCACCTCTTTCTTACACTGAACTATTTTTCGAATATTACTAATATTCAGTTCAGCTCTTCTAATTACTTGTCCATATTCCCTTCACCGTGGGTTGTGATGTTCGGCTGATAATTGTGGCCGATATATCGAGTGGAAAAAAGACACAAAAAATATTTTTTCGTTCCACTTCATCCCAAAATTATTATCTGATCATCACCGAAAATTATAGGCCTTGTCCTTGAACTCCACTGGAACCTCATGCAAAATTTCAAAGCGATCATGAATTACTAAATAATATATATGAACACAGATGTCTAGATCGGCTCACCTAATCGAGATATGACGATCGGTATACTTAAAGTATTTCGCGGCGTTACGAACTCTTGGGGCGACCTAAACATAAACTTAAAACATAGCTTTATAGGGTATAAATACTCCACCACGGCACTAGACAATAATTACGTAGACCTCCGCAAATGTCTTTATTGGATTGGAATAAATTGTAAGTCAAATAAAACTCGCACATAATTATAAAATAAATTGTTTTTATTGTTTTTACAAAGGATAATACAAAAAGTAATTATTATTATTATGTAACAATAATATATAAGGATGATTGCAATAGGAAACTGGATGCAATAAATACTTAACTCGTAACGCACGAACTGGAACAGGACTTGAGACTGGATAGGTAATAGGTGTCGAGTCGATATGTAGCACTTAAATATGATTTTACCATTCCTTATATAGTTTGCTTTAATACTAAAATCGCCAAACAGCTAAACGTAGTTATCTCATGGCATAAACATGTTGCATACTTTTAGGCTTAACACTAAAATGTCGATGTTATCGTTGATCGCACTAATCGGATCCACAAACCATGCTAAATTTATTTATAATTTTATGATTAGATAAATTGTATTGTAGATGTGTTCGAAAAAAATAAGGGGATTGGGAACAGCAGACTTCTGGAACTGGAGTGCAGGGAATTGTTATTTATTGATAGAAATAAGCTGAAATAGAAAACATAAAGAATATTATGTTTATTGATTACTTTAATTGGTTTTTAATGTTGCAAATAGTTGTTGTACATATATATTAAATAAGATTTGATTACATACTTAGATGAAATTTTACTAATACATATAAATAAATTATTTAATCTTATTTTTGCAAGGTTGGAGACAAGTAAATATTTCAAATATATTCATATAAATTAAAGTATCATGCTTCGTAGCCTCCACGTTAACATAAATTTAGACAATTCAGGGCAATTGAGGCCTTATCCCTAACACAAAAGTATAACAAATTCAAAAAATTTGTCAATAATGATGAAATCAAAGTTAGTTTCAAAGTTCATGCGAATCAAATTTGAATTTTCATTTTGAGTTATTTATAACAATGTATGTTTTATGTATAGGTCTTTCACAACTCAATGTTCAGTCCATAAGAGCTACGTACAATAAACAATGTTGGACTATAAAAATAATAATAATGAAACATATGAAATCGATGAATTACTGTACTTGAAGTAATTATTGGCAATGCCAAAAATTATGCGTTGGTGTTTGAACCGTGGAAAATTTTAATATATTCGAACTTAGTTTAACAACTACCTTCAACATCAATAATACACAGCATACTTTTAGGATTACTGAACTTTTCACAATTTCGCAATATTGTTACGTTCAGCCCGACTAAAAATGTCGCCAAGGAATTCAATAACCCGGGAAAACAAATATTACTAAATATGGCGCCACTAATGAAAAAAGTGTGCACAAGATGCTAAAAATGATCTTGTTTGCACTCTTTGACGAGAAAATCAATTTGTAAAGGAAGATATGTAATTATAATGAAAATATTCTTTGCAAAATCGAAAAATAGATTTTAAGTTTAATTTTGCAAGATAACTACATTTTTTTCGTTTTGTTGTCTCAATTTCGCGTGGTGAGAAACTTGGCATACAGTCGAATTCGGTTAAGCGAAAACACCTAATTTCATAAAATTTTTTTCTCTTAAGCAGGATTTTCAATTAAAAGAACTTCGGATAAGCGAAACTCGTTGCGCTTAAACGAAGTTTTCAAACAATATCTAAAAAATCGTGAAATTTATAAATCATATTGTAAAATGAATTGAGTAAGATCTTCTTTTTTTCGTAGACATTTGATTGGAAGGTTGAAAATATGTGCAAGAAAAGTTTAGGGTTGCACATACAAATTTTAATGAAGTTCGTCGCCATTACAAAAATTATATTTTTTCTCTTAAAGGGTGCTCGTTTAATATATGTTTTTGAAACAATTAACCAGTTTTTCTTTTAAGCGAAGTAAAATTAAAAGTTTCAATAAACCGATTTTTCTATATATATATATATATATATATTAGTTTTAGTTTGCTGTTTGTCGTAAGCTGTTAGCTAAAAAATCTCAAAAACTAATACAAAATTCGAATAAATAATCTACATAGGAGTCGCTTAATTTTAAAGTGGTTCAATTCCATTTTTCTTTTATGTATTAAGATATTTAAATGTTTGGTTTGATTTGTTTTAATAATAATGTTATAAGAATTCCATTATAATGTTGAAAGAATTCCATTATTAACATCAAGATAAAAACCAGTGAGCGGAGCAATGTAGTCGGACGGGGCCGTCCTTCACAACTACCACTGACTAGGGATAAGTAAATCGACTACTCGATGAATCGACTTTTGATCTTTGAAGAAATCGCAAAGTCGATTTTTCAAGATCGACTTTAGACTTTCTTCGTAAATACTTGGTTTATTATCACAAAACCCAATTTGCTTAAAAATTACACATTCCATAACTTTATATTATCTGTTGACAACAATTCGTATAAATATCGAATTTTTAGTCGATTTTTGGATTACTCGGTAAAAGCAGAAAATCGATTTTGAACTGGTTTTACAAAATCAAAAAGTCTTAAAATAGAATTTTTGTTCAGAGGATATATTAAAAAATCTAAAAGTCAATTTTTGCGCTCGTCTACTTATTCTGAGCCCTGGCAGTATTTTGCGATATGTGCACCCTTTCGACCGATTAGGGGTCAACACACACAAATCGTGGTTCATTCGACCAGATAAATGTTGACCTTGATAATTATCGATCTATCATTCTATTGTAACGTTTGTGATATCCATGATAAGACAAAAATAAATTTTTGGTCCATTTCATCCTCTAAAAGTCATAACCAAAAATTATAGGTGTCGTCCTTGGTCGGAATTTTGTGTACAATTTTGAAGCGACATTTCCGCCATTTTTTAGTATTGTTATTTCCACCCTAAATAACAATACTAAAACCATATCTTAACAAAAGGCACCTTCAATATTTGCGTATAACCCCTACAACCAGGGACATACAACATTTAATTTAAATGTCAACCACTCCCCTTGGGTACACTGTCATCTTTTCTGGGCTATATCCTTAAGGATTATACCTACGATCAATAACCGGGTACACTTGTATCTTTTTTGAATAAAAATGCTGTATATCCCAATATTTGGATCAAATCTTCAGGAATCATTCTTGAGGTATTTTTACCCATAATTCAAGAAAAAAATTTAAAAATTTTCCATATGTATAATACCTCCGCTCTTCCAAACGAAGAAGAATACCTACAGTTCTCCTCTAGAATGAATAATACCTGCAGCTCTTCCACAGAAAGAAGAATACCTGCAGATCTTCCAGAGCTTTTCTATAGGAAGGAATTAGAGCTCTCCTATTGAAAGAAGAATACCTCCTGCTCTTTCAAAGGAAGAAGAATACCTGCAGCACTTCCATAGGAAGAAGAATACCTGCAGGTCTTCCACAGGAAGAATAATATCTTGAGCACTTCCACAGCTTTCCTGTAGGAAGGAATTAAATTAAGCTCTCCTATAGGAAGAAGAATACCTCCAGGTCTTCCATAGGAAGAAGAATACCTGCAGCTCTTTTACAGGAAGAAGACTCCTGCAGCTCTTCCACAGGAAGAAGAATACCTGCAGCTCTTCTACAGGAAGAAGAATACATGCAGCTTTGCTATAGGACGAAGAATACCTCCAGTTCTCCTATATGAAGGAGAATACCTACAGCTCTCCTATAAGAAGAAAAATACCCCCAGCTTTCCAAAAGGAAGAAAATTACACGCAGCTCCCCTATAGGAAAGAATGAAGAAACCCTGCAGCTCTGATATAGGAGGAAGAATACATCCAGCTCTCCTATACGAAGAAGAATACCTCCAGCTCTTTTTTTTGTAGGGATATTATTTAGGTGTTTCTCAACCCAACTGTCGACCTAGACCATCAGGGCGACTCGTGGACGTCAGTGGAAGTTTTCGTTTGGTGTACAGGGATTAAAACAATGATTTTTGTCCGTTATTTTCAAATTATTTCGGCATGTAACCTTTTCTATAATCGAATTGAACAGATTTATTACAATTCTAAATTGACTTACATATCGTCAGCTAAAATGCAAAAAGGCGTAACTAACAAAAGCATATTTGTGTAGGAGAAGCAAAAACGGATTTGAATGAAAACTATAAACATGTCATGTGAAATAAAAAAGTATGCCCGGCAGGGTGATATTGCATATGACGAATAAGAGACTATAATTTTTTTATATATATATAGCACTGTTATTCATTTTAAAATGGGATTATCATGTTTAAATGATAATCTATCTAAAAAATCATAGTAATTTCGTTATAGCTTTCGAGTGTGTTAAGCTTTATAAATTATTTTTTGTAGGGATATTATTTAGGTGTTTCTCAACCCAACTGGAAATTTTTGTAGACCTAGACCATCAGGGCGACTCGTGGAAGTCAGTGGAAGTTTTCGTTTGGTGTACAGGGATTAAAACAATGGTTTTTGTCCGTTATTTTCAAATTATTTCGGCATGTAACCTTTTCTATAATCGAATTGAACAGATTTATTACAATTCTAAATTGACTTACATATCGTCAGCTAAAATGCAAAAAGGCGTAACTAACAAAAGCATAATTGTGTAGGAGAAGCAAGAACAGTTTTGAATGAAAAGTATAAACATGTCATGTGAAATGAAAAAGTATGCCCGGCAGGATGATATTGTATATGACGAATAATAGACTATAATATTTTAACAAATTTAGTTATTTAGTTTTATGGCAGTCATAACAATTAAGTAAAAATTTGATTTTTTTGTTAGTTACGCCTTTTTGCATTTATCAAATAAACCCACTTGTAGTTACGTCTTTTTGTTTTTTGTTAATAGAAGCTCCTTCTTTGACCGCAGACGTGTAAAACTTTGTCAACACATGTAGTTTATTGACATTCACAATATTCATTCAAAAAGTCAATTTTCAATATTTTGTTAGTTACGCCTTTTTGCATTTTAGCTGACGATATATATATATATATATATATAGCACTGTTATTCATTTAAAAATGGGATTATCATTTTTAAATGATAATCTATGTAAAAAATCATAGTAATTTCGTTATAGCCTTCGAGTGTGTTAAGCTTTATAAATTATTTTTTGTAGGGATATTATTTAGGTTTTCCTCAACCCAACTGGAAATTTTTGTAGACCTAGACCATCAGGGCGACTCGTGGAAGTTTTCGTGGTAGCTGCTAAGATTCTTGAACTATTCAGATATTGTGTTGTAATCTCTTAGCTGATAAATTTGCAATTTTTTGCCCCATATTCATTCAATGTAAATGAATTAATGCTGTAGTTTTAAATTGGCTTCGAACTGTTCTGATGTTTATGGAATGTATTACCTATACCACTCAAATGGGCATAGAAATTCATACATAATATAAAACTATGATTATGTTATGTTATGATTATGTTAACTCAATATTTTGACCTATAGAGATGTTGTCTTCCACCCACAACGAAATATTAATGAAATATGAAAATCGGACAAATGTAAAAAAATTCGACCCATTTCGATTCATTTAAAAAAAATCCATTTTTATTTTATGCAGATTAAAAAACAAAACATATAAGTAACATCGGTGAACAAATTTCAAATGTGAGTCAGTCGTATCCTCAGCTAAATATCAATGAATCTATTGCGCTTCTATTAACTTTTCCAATATTTGCGGATTAGTTCCAGTCCAATCTAATAATTTTCATATTATAGAAAAAATATAAATTAGTTTGAAATTATTTCAAAATTGAGATCACTTACTAGAATAAAGATGTTGAGTTTTAAAATTTAAATACAAACCAAAGCTAATGGTGCAACTGGGAGAAAGTAAAAATTCATATCTAATATAAATATGAAAATTGTGCAAGATTAACATTTAGCAAAAAGGTGTAAATAAATAAATGTTTTTTTGGTGCGAAAAGCAAATAAAAAAACAAAATTGCATAAATAAAATATTCCATTGACAAAATGTTTGTTTGTGTATATGTATTTCATTTCGAGTTGGTATTGTGTAAATGCTTAATTAATAAATAAGTTTTGTTTAAATAAATAAAATGTATGAATTATAAATGATCGATAAATATGTGTGTAATATGTTTGAAGGTATAAATAAACAAATTGAATAAATACGTATGTATGTAAATGCAAATAAACAAAACAGGAATCTAATGACTTAGACTAGGTACTACAATACAAGTGGGTTCCTCTCTCTCTCTCTCTCTCTCTCTCTCTCTCTCGTCATGGAAATGCACTTTAAAATTCTCCCATTATGGGATTGTACATCAAATGTTCCTCATTTCCATAATCATGAGCCCTGAACAATGGTGCCTTGCGTTTGCGACGTGTCATCATCTGTGCATCTGGAATATGTCGTCGAACTTTATAGGGACCATTGTAGGCAGGCTTATTGTATTCGTTGGTGTGGAATTCCTGATATCTGGATGGTGTAGGTGGGTAGTAAATGTATTTGGTTTTCTTAACAGCCGGGGGAATGAAGGGCGATCCCTTATTTGGTGGTGGTGGAATTTTGTGAACATTCTTTTCCACAGCATAGGAAACGGTCGATTGGGCAGGATTTTGACGTTTAGCCACTTCTAAGGCTGCAATAATGGGCGTTAAATCTTGCAAAGCATCTTTTGGAGAATTTCCCCCATTCGGAGCATTGTAGGTGTAACCACCTGAATTTTGACTACTTGCTGGTTTGTAGTCATATCCCTCTTGAGGGTGCTTTTGTAAATACTTTTCCTCGGGACTGAGATTTTTTTGTTTTTGCATTTGATGATAAATATCAGCAGCATATGCAGCCGTTATGGACTCGGTATGAGAAAGAGATTCCAATTGACCCAAATTAGTTGGCAAGCCAAGAGAATTTAAATCAACTTGATCTCCAGAACCGGTTTGACCATAACTTCCATAGCCGGTATTAAAATTCGATGTATCCAAAGCTACCGTCTTTGAGGCGGTGTATTCTGTTTTCCCATCGGGCAACATATTCAAAATCTCTTGCAATTGCACAGCAGCTTTGCGTGCCTCTTCATCGCTCAGCTTCTGATGACGACCATAAATATTGAATTCCTGACCGGTAGGTGGTGCTGCCACATAATGGTTGTGATGATGTGTTGCTGCTCGTTGGTTTCAAATAGGAAGTGTCGAGTGTAAGAGAATGTGTGTTGTGTAATCGTGTGGCATGGTGTTATATATGGTTGTTGTTGTAGTTGTTGCATATGCATAGAAAGAGTATGAAAAAGAAGAAATCTCAGGTACATCATTTAATTTGATGACATTATAGAAAATTGTTTCAATTATGTGTTATGGTGTTAGTGTTTAGTTTTGTTAGTTTCATATATAGAATGTATGTACAGGTGTTAAATGTGTGTAAGAGTGGCTTTTATTTGTGGAAATCAGTAGTTCATTGCATAATTATGGTTGAATTTAATTAAGTTTACAAAAATATATATAAATTCGAAGGGAGTAATAATATTTCACAAAGAATATCTCGGATTAATTCTTAACCGATAGAAAACCGGGCTAAATATTTATAGCTATTAAATTATACCTTTCGACTGAATTCCGGTTGAATATCTAATAAATGTTTTGTTTTAATATTGAAAGATGTTGTTTTCTGATGTGAATTAAGAACGTGTTGTTGCTAAAAAAGTATTTCAAAAACTATGTTTTAGCGTTTTTATGAATATGTTAGTTTGTTGTGTATCAATTCCTTAAGAAGTTTGGATGCTTTCTCATGTTTGTACAGTTGGTTATTTACTTACAATTTAAAAGAAATTTTATAATTTTCTCAAATAGTCTTCGTAGGATTATGCTTATACAGGTTCATAAAAATTTAAATATCTATGTACATCAAATATTATTGCCAAAAAGATTTATAACAGTTTTATAAGTTTATTTATAAATAATTTGATGTATATATTTAAAATGTTTTCCAAATTATTAGAAAATGAAGTTGTCTCGAAAGGAATGAAACGAATAACTTTACCAAAATAACTTTACATTCTAAGTCAGTTCTTTCTCTCGTTCATGTCAAGATTAATGATCGAAGTTTTGCAATGAAAAAGAAAGCCAATTTGAAGTCAGTTTTTTCTCTTTAGAGTTTAATGACCGAAGTCATTGCAAAATTTCGATCATTAAGCTGGACTGTCTTAAAATCATTTAATGACCATCGCCCTTACAGACATTCTAGAGTATTTGAAGAACACATTTTTTAAATTAGAATCTTCTTGGCCAGGCCGAATATTTTTGGACCTTTACATGGAGACTGGGTCTAAACATAGATCTAGAATGCAAATTGTCTACCAAGATAAAGTTTTCTGCCCACCAATAACCCACACTTCCAAATGTTAGTCTCTTCTATTGAAAAATGATCTAAAACCATAAAAATGATTAAAATTAGACGAGGCCTTCATTGGAGGCTAAGTCAAAAAAATTTGCAAATATGTTTTTTATCCTCTAAGAACCCGAAATTATATAGGATAGGCAAAATCATCGATTTATATATATATATATATATATATATATATAGGGCATATCGAGTATTGACATTTATTATAGATGTAAGGAATAATATAATATATATATGAAACATACCAAAAAGTGGACCTACACCGACAATTGTGCCAAGCGACTGTTTAACCCATAATGCACACGATATTGATGACGCATGGCAGGGTGGAACATGTGTATAAAATCCTTAAAATACTGCAATTTAGAGGTTAAAGTTATATGTGGGGCTATACCTAAAGAGTGACCAATATTGATTACTTCGTTTAGGAATAAACAATTATTTGGAGTTAAGGTCCGATATAGGTCAACCTAACATTTACATTTTGTATAACAATACCTTCGCGTTAACACGTTGAAAAACGCGCTAAAAACCAAAAATTACGAAAAATTTGTGGTACCGTTATATGGGGGACATCTGAAAAATGGACCTATATTAATAATTTTTAGTGGAGAGATTTGGTAAGAAGGCAAAGTACCAAAATACAGCGAATTCGGTTGAAAAACGCGCTCAATACCCCCAAAATACTGGTTAAATAATTGGTGGTTACTGTTATATTGTGGCTACAAGAAAGAGTGGACCTCTATTTATAGTTTTTGGTGGAGAAAATTGATATTCAATACGAATTTCATTCAAAAACGCGCTGAAAACCACCAAAATACTGAAAATTGGTGGATACTTTTATATCGGGGCTACCAGAAAGAGTGACCTATATTTATAGTTTTTGGTGGAGAAAGTGTTATCCGATAAGAATTCCATTGAAAACACGCTCTACAACCCCAAAATATCGAAAATTAATGGGTACCCTTATATGGGGGCTATCCCTAAATGTGGACCGATCTAGCCCATCTTCGAACTTCACCTGTCTGCAGACAAAAAAATATTGGTAATCTATATAAACTTTTTTAGAGGCTAGAGTGAACACAACAGACTGACGGACACATTACATATTTAAATCGTCGTAAAATTTTACAAACGGAAAAACAAACTTAAAATACCCTTCATACTTGGTGGAGGGTATAAAAATGGTTCGACACCGTTCTATGAAGGCTATGGGAAAAGATGCTTCCATATTGAGAATTTGAAAGATTAAAACTTTCTATGAAGAAGGGTTTTAATCAGAAAAACACAGAATGTCAAATTTCAGTCACACCGACTTGTTTAATAGGGCTATGTTGGTTGGAAAATGCGGCTAAAATCTTCAAACCTTCAAATAAACATATACCTATATCGATAATATTATAGAAATATGTTTTTCACTTTGAAATAACCTTTAAAATTCCAAAAAAGTGAACCAATATTGGTAATTTTTTAGGGAGGTAATTTTTATTAGGAGGAGGGGCTTCCTCAAAAGTATTGATAACTAGAACCCATAATGTAAAATGACTGCTAGTTCGGATAGAAAACACGTTCAAAATCGTCAACGTGCGCCGATATTATCCAACATCGAATCGGCTTGCCATAAAAAACCTACAGTGACTGAAGGTCATATTTTATTGCCTAAAACAAGGGTAAGTTAAAGTTTTCCAATTTTTTTTAAAAAGTTAAAAAAAACATCAAACATTTTTAGTAAACATCAACATATATTAGATAAAAATTAAATAATAAACCATTATAGGGATACATTGGATATTTCATTAAAGTTACAAAATCCAGATATTTTCTACCGTAAAATATGACAGTCGATATACTCCTTGAATACTTACTTATGTGTATATTGTTCAAGAATTAAAACAAACCTATTCCAAACACCCAATTTTTTGAATATCTTCACACTCTCAACAGTTCGATTTGCAAGTTATGAATATATTATAATTCTGTTCAAATATTATTTCAAGGTCTTTAACGATTTGCATGTGTCCGCATATATTCGATTATGATGTAACGTTTTAGACATGTCTCATAACGCACTGAACCCCTCTAACAAAAAAGGTAAAGCACGATAAATAAAAAACGAAACACAAAAATTGACTAGGAAATGCCTGGCTAAAATCAAAACTCCAACAGAAATCACAAATAAAAAAATTGCATAATATTCGATCAGACAAACAAACAGACGGTTGGCGGACATAAGATTTACCAACAATGAATGAATTACAAAAAAACCGAAAAATACTGTTAGCCGAAATTCAATGAGGCTAAACCACCACATATGGCTAATACAATCTATAAATCGTTTATTTTTCGTATAAAAGTTAACAGTTAACGTGGTGATACACACCCAATGACACAAACAAGCACACAGCCAACTAACCAAAAACAAAATGAATTAACAGACAAACGTTAAAATCTGCTCCACAACAGAAATTCGTCTGAAACCACTCTTCATGCACTAAGCCATAGTATACGCTCAAATGCTTACACGAAAGGTGTCATACGTCACTGAACTAAACATTGTTAACAGCAGACGAAGTTAAAGCATTGAGTATTTAAGTCGAATTCTTCAATTATCTGCCAGAGCGTAAAGTACTCAGAGAGCGCCAAAACGGTATGTCATTTGTGGAGTGACTACCCAAAAGCCGGTAGACTCCATTGTAGACTTCGTTCGATGTCTTCTATTACGTTCGAATGCTTTCACTTTCATACAGATGACGAACATACAATAATTTGAGTGTAGTTCGGTTGTACATTCTCAGTAAAGCTCAAAAGAGAAGGAGAGAGGCCTTTTTTAAAGACGGTAAAGACGGTAGTAAAATTAAATATTGGGAATGGAACATTTGTGATTAAAAACACGGTTAATATACGAGTACGAGTTGTGTGTTAATTTGAAATATTCTAATGAAAACTAATTTTTGAATGTAAAAAATACCTGACCGACTGAAGATCGGAGTGCGAGGGAGTGAAGGGAGACAAAATGGTTATTGATTAATAAATAAGCGGTTAATTTGTATACCCTCAGCCTTATGGCTCAAAAATGTGCCTCATCGTAATATTGGACCCCATGTTTCCTTTTCAGACAATTTGTATTCGATGTACAAATGTCTGTCCGTCTGGCTGGCTAGTGCGATAACTCTCGAACGGTGTGACTGATTTCAACTAAACATTGGACATCGAAGATGGGGAATATCGGTCCACTCCTTCTGGTACCTCCCCCACAAAATGGTCAAAATTGTGAAATAAATAATTTTATAATATAATGCGAACGGACTTACCGATTTGAACCAAACTATGTGCAAACTATTATCTTTACGAAGCTTAAATCAAGTCTAAAAATGGGACCCATTGGTCCACTCCTTCTGGTACCTCTCACACAAATGGTCAAGATTTTAAATATTTACAAACACAATATCAGACGAATGGAATGTCCGATTCGAACCAAACTTTGGACAACCTAGTATCTTTACCAAGCCTAGATCAAGTTCGAAGGTAGACCCATTCCCATACTCCTTCTGGTATTTCCCCCACAACTTATAAATTTATTTTGATCGTAAAATAATTCTGATGGAATTTAAAATTATAGTTATGAAACTCGGAAAAAACTGCGGAAGATCTGCCCTTGTTATGTTGCTGGCTCTCGAATTTTTGATAAACAAAATAAATTATAACCCGAATTTCCTATCCCTGGCTCTCTTCTTATATTTATACCCTCCGCCATATTATGGAGGTATATTAATTTTGTCATTCTGTTTGTAACTCATCAAAATATTAATTTCCTACCCTATAAAGGGTAACATTTTGGGAAGGTATTGTCCTGTCTGCCTGTTGTATTCACACTTCAGAAGGAATTTGGGATGCTGAAATTATGCATGCAGTTGTCTTATGTCTTCCGCCAGGTTATAAGATAGGATATATCAGTCCACGTTTTGGGTCAGTCGTTTATTTTGAAAGTAGCTTAAGTCCATTTTAGGTTCTGATACAAATCTTGGTATTCTAGAAAAGTTTACAAAATCCATAATTTTATGTATTTGGGGGGCGGAAGCCTGGTGTTTTATCGAATTGCCTGTCATTTTGTATGTTAGGTTCTAATTGGGTATCACATCTTTCTGCCAAAATTTCAATAATATGGGAACTTTTAAAACGTTTTTCCAAAAGTATTTGTCTTTACATTGGTATTATAGGTTCTTATTTGGTAACAAATCTCCCTACCATTTATATCGAAATGATTTTGAAAGTACGTATGCGAATCTTATGACACCAATAAGGAGGTCGGTCACACTAGCCACAATCGAGTGAGTGGCTGTAAACAATAGAAAAGGATGACAAATAAATGGTTGCAAAAAAGACGATACCAAAACATAACACAGCCGAACAATGAATGGCTTTTATGGGAGAAATACATTTGTTTTTGTCCAAAGAGAGAGAGAAAGGGGGGGGGGAATGAGCGAAAGATGTGGTACAAAGAGAAAAGTATGAAAATAGTTTTTATATTAATAAAATGAATTTTTACTTGTATTCTAAGCGAGGTACATTTCTTTTGTGCATTATCGGCCCACGTTTTGGGTCTTTCAGATTTTAGGTTTCTGATAATAGAAGAAATACTATTATCAGAAACCTAAAATCTGAAAGGCCCAAAACGACAATCGACAATCGCTGGGAAAAATTCTCTCAAATTTACGAGAACCTAGGCGACGTTAAACTTAAGGATCAAAATTGTTCCCCTTTTCTCAATTTTTAAGAAAATACAATGTGATTCGGGATTGAAATTTTCACGGTAGTCTGTAAACAGATCGTACACGGTATGAACAGTGCAGGATATAGAAATTTCTTTTCTGGAGGTCCCTTTAAACATCTATTTACATGTTTGCTAATAAACATACATCACAGGCTGGTGGAAGGTTATAAAAAGGCCTTCTATGTAGGTTCGCTTCAACTTCTATCCACATGTCTGGCAAATGATTTTCTTTTCACAAAGACATCATACAGGTGACAGTTATGACAAGATTGCATGCTTGTGACTGCAGCGGAAGTTCATTACATCCCATGCCGGATACTCTAAATATAAATTTGGACCGCACTGCAAAGTATTGGTAGTTGTAGTTTCAAAATGAACGACATTTCGTGTCTGAAACTGTAGATGACAGTTTCGATGACGAAATAGAGGAAAAAATGCAAAACTCTTTTATTCAGATGAAAGATGATTTGAAATGATTATAATAGTAATGATCATTATCATTATTGGATGGTGGTGATACAAGGAAAAGAGATGATGGGTAAATATTAAGTATGGGAAAATTACATAGTAGATATAATATTTACAGATACATATTTGCAATAAATTTTCATTGAGTATGACATGATACTTTAATGGTAATCGCAAAACATGAAATATTTACAGAACACATATTAACATAGCTATGTATATTTGACATAAAGGGTATTCATGTAGGATTGAAAGACAAGTAAAAAGAAAAGGAAACAAATTTTATACATATTTATTTATGGTGTACATACTATGACCGGATGATTAGAAGACTAAAGTTGTTGGTCAAGGATACCAAATTCGAAACTATAATGATATTGATAATGGAGACTATGGAGATCCAAGGCTCCAAATTAACTTCAATTGCGTTCCACAACTTTTGTTTTATAAGGAAAATATCATTATATATTTTTTTTAATATTAACTCATCTTTCATATCATGAATACCCCTATTGCTACAACATTCATATATACAAAATTTTTGTTCAAACAATTTTTCGAATACATACTTATAAATAATAATATTAAAACGTCTACTAACAATACGCTGGACGTCTATTAACAATACGCTGGGCGTCTATTGAACAATACGCTGGAAGTATTGTTCAACAAATGCTATACAAAACTTACATGCCCCAACATCTGTTGGAGTACAATGACCCACCAATCACCAAAAACCCTTTACCACAAAACCAAAAATGGAAAAATTAAATATGCATTATTGCATTCATATTTTCTTGTACATACCATCTGGTCCATAGGCTGTTGGCAAGTAATTACTGGATGGCTCTTCGAATGCGACATGACCACCGCCATAACCGCCGCCCGATGGTGGCAGATATTGATGTGTGGCACTGCTGTAAGTTGGTGGTTTTGATGGTGGACCATAACTGGTGTGGCCACTTGGAATCTCGTATGAGGTTATGCCTGTGAACAAAATTAAAGACAAAGAAATGTAAAAAAATGTAAACATATAAAAAAAATAAACTCGAAACATTTGAGAGTCATATTAAGCTTAAAGTAATTCCATTGCAAGTATGTATTGATTTCATAGTATCAGTTATGCAGTCTTTTCTTGCTAATATATAAACGCAAGTACATATACATATAATTTTAAGTTGTTAACAAACAATCGGCAGTAGCAACAAAAATAAATTACCGACAATTTTTTTATAGTTTTCAATAAACTGGTGGGATTTTTTCATTATTAAATTGGATGTGTCCATGTTTCACAATCTGCTACAATGGAGTGCTTTATGGCAAATCAATTAATTGCGGTTAGCCGAGAGGCGACACTCTGGGGGTCTATTAACTTGTGTCGGTTGCATTTATGCTGCCATAATAATCGATTCAAATAAGGAAACTTTTAACACCATTGAAAATACGGTTTTGGTTGCTTTCGTTCACATGAAAGTAATATGAATCGATTTCAGTTCGTTTGTGACATTATGAATTTTGTGACAGGTGTTACAATGGTATTTAAGGATATCTTTAAATGGAACTCAATTAGTGTTCATGATATAACATGGATGCTTTACTTTTGTTTGGTTATGGTTGTTAATAACCAGCAGCATTCTCTAATAAAATATACAAATGTTTATTTGGAATAATATACAACTCCATTATTTGCTTATATGTTAGGTGTCAATTACCTATCAAAGGCGATATCCCAATTAGTTGTAAAAATTACCGATGTTGACTCATCGAAATGATTACAAGAGAGCAATAAATCAACGAATTTTTGACATAAAAAATTATATATAAACAAAAAAAAAACCTTTAAGTTCGGCCTGGCCGAACATTGGATACCCTCCACCGTAGGTATACTGATAAGTGCTTGAAATCAAAATATATGGAACATACAAAATTGTACCTATACTATACAATTCTACAAACCGATATATTTAAACCAAATACAAATTTCAATATTCAATGGAGATTTTTCCTAAAAATCCCAAAAAGTTGACGGATATTAGCGACTTATGATAACGTGGAACATGTGTATAAAATCCTGCAATTATTTCGGAAGGTTGGGTGGACACTGCTGGATCAATATGAAAAGTGTCATTGCAGAAAAAAAGTTTGTATGTATAGGTTTCTGGAGGCTACCTAAATCGGGATCAATATTAATTAAATCGCGTAAGAATTCCCGAAAATTGAGAGTTGTCATTATGCTTTGCCTAATTGACGACTGATATAGGTTAATTTCGAACCTAACATTTTTGCATCACAATAAATTCCTATACGCTAAATATTAAAAATATCGAAAATGGGTAGGTATCATTGTATGGGGGTAGGCCTAAATGCGGGCCGCTATAGTTTATTCTCGAACTATACGTTCGAGATTACAATTATTAATCTTCTTCAATTATTTAAAGTCTTCAAACCAATCCCAAAACGCGAAACAGATCGGATAACTATTTTAATATAAAAACTAGTCAGCGGAGCAGTATAGTAGGACGGGCCGACCATACACAACCACCACGAAAATCAAACTTTCTGCGGTTCTACATTCTGAGCCTGGACAATATTTCGAGATATTTGCACCCTTTTTACCGATTTTAGATCAACAACTTCACTTTCTAACCCTGGCATATTTTCCAATTATTTTCTTGAAGTGAATTTTTACTCCGTAAAATAAAAAAAATTGTCACTTTAGGTGTTGGTTGATTTGACCCTCGAAATATTGACCGATCATCATCTAAACAGCCGCTCTAAGTATTTGGTCAGATCCCTTTCACCTTGTAAAATATGTGATGTTCTGCATATAATAATTGCCTCTAGAGCGACTAGAAAATCTGACAACATTAAAGTTTTCGGTTCATTGCAACCCCTGAAGGAAATCTCAACTTCACCGAAAACTATAGGCGTCATCCTTGATCATAATCGGAAGTTCATGTACAATTTCAAAGCTATCAGCGCGACATTTCCGTCCTCTAATGGAGTAATAGTAATACTATGCACATAGTCACCTTTACCTAATTACGTATAACTTCCACATCAGAGTACATGCAGCCATAAGTTTGGTATCAATGTGAAGGTCAACAACTCCTCTTGGATATCCTACCAACTTCTCGGGTATATGTCCTTCAGGAGGACCATAACTGCGGCCTCTGGAGCGACCAGATAAACCGAAAAAAATAACTATTTACTATAAATATTAACCGATCTTTACCAAAAACAATAGGGGTCTTCATTGGGCCGAACCTATCCATCATGCAAAATTTGGTGAAGATTGGTCCACAAATGTGGCCTGTATCGTGTTTATAAATTATAATGGACAGACGGACGGACACACATGTCTAGATCGACTCAGCTAGTCGAGATATAACGATCGGTATACTTAAAGGTGGGTCTAGGACCAATATTTCGCGACGTTACAAACTCTTAGGGCTGCACAAAGCTATAATACCCTGACAACATAGTTGTGTAGGGTATAAATAGGGTTATATGGGGACTACCCCTAAAAAGGGCGAATATTAATAATGTTTTGTAGGGAGATTTGTTTCCATATATGACTACAAGAACCTCAAAATACCGAAAATTAGTACCGTTAAATGGGGGCTACCAGAAAAAGTGGACCTATATTTCTAATTTTTAGTGGAAAAAATTGGGTACCCCATAAGAACCCACTGTACCAAATTTCAGCGAATTTGGTGCTCAAAAACATCAAAATACCGACTGGCGGGGTACCCTTATATGGGGGCTATGTCTAAACGTGGACCGATAAAGCCCACCTTCCCTTTTGATTTCCTGCAGCCAAAATATAACTCTATGCAAAATTTTGGCGATCTCATATCGTTTAGAAGCTAGAGTGTTTACAACAGACAGTCGGACATACACTTTACATATATACACTTTATGGGGTCGAATATTTTAAAACAATTCTACATAATAAAAACTTCTAAGTTAGTGGTATCGATGGTATATGTAGAAACATTAGATTTTTGCCGTCATTGCAATGACCTACACCAAAATGAAGGCCTATACCGATAATTATTTCCAAGTACTAGTTTTATTCCATCAATAAGAAAATCCAAATTAAAGACCCATATACCGTGGAAATAATTATACGTGTGTGAACAAAAGAAGTTATTGGGTCTCAGAGTTGTACGGTGGATGACCCATCAATTTCACCAATTCGCACCATGACAATTATGATTCTTTTGTTCTTTTTCGAATTTGCAAGAATATTTCTGACAAAAAGAAATATCTTGTATATCTCAAAATATACCGTTTTGCGTTGAAGTGCATCTTCCATGTCCAACTTTTGTGGTCAAAACGTTTTATTTCAAAATATGTATAGCAGCTCTCGTATGTTAATTCTATGCACATCACAACGTGTTACCGAAAATTGGGAGTTGTTATTATATGAGGTGCTATGCCTAATTGACGACTGATATAGGTTAATTTCGAACCTAACATTTTTGCATCACAATAAATTCTATTATATATACACATCACAACATGTTCCTGTATTCTAGCGACAATAACATTGTTTGATTGTTTTTTGAAGCATTGATGAATCCATTAGCGTATTATCACTACATATTAAAACAACTTTCCATTTAAGAAAATCAGGAGAAAAAGAGCATTACATATTCTCCCTAAATCATATTTTTCTTTGCAATCCCAAATTTTGCAATAGCTACTGTTCGAAACAAATTCAATTTTCCAACTCACATTTCAAATGATATCTTTTAATCTACTTCGTTACTTTTCCATGGGGAACTGTATTAAAAGGGCGGGTTTTAAGCTGAACTCATTACACATTTCAAATGAAATGCAAACTAATCTAACTTACATTTTGGAAATACTTTTTTTTGCAAAAAAAATACGATTGACGTCAAAGACAAATATATCATTCATCTAGATTACATTGGAAAGAAACACCAGAATAGCCAAAATTCAAAGTTGTATTTGTGGTTAAGAAGTATTGGCGTCATGAGCCATATTTGGACCCTATTACGTATTGCAAATAATGAAAAAGAAACACACACAGACACACATTGAACCAACAAACTATTGCAGCATGTTCCAAACTAGAAATTCAAATGTGTGTGCGTGTTTCAATACAAACTGCTGTCATCGATTGGAAAGTTGTCATTGAAATCTAACGACAGCTAACATCTGTCAAAGTGGCGATGATGGTGGCTTCAGCACCAGTATAGTTCCACCCGTACTCAGCACATCATTAAATGCGGTTTTGTTTAGGTCAATGTACATCACTAAATAAGCACAGCGAACAGCGGAGCAGACATTACGACCAACAGCGTGCAGCTTAACATTCTCTCGACAAGTAAGGAAACAAGTGTGCTACGAACACTGCATGTTTGGTAAGACTTTGAGCCAGCCAGCAATTCAGCCAAAGCTGTTGCAGTAGAAGAAATCCATAAAAACACATAGTTTACACACAAGCAATGCTTGGCGGACGGAACGCAACATCTTAAGTGGTAAATAAATAAAATTGTATTCCTAACATGGGCCATTAAACGGGCTTCGCAGAAAACAAATTATTTTACTGCGAATGATGAAATAATTTTGTTGTCATAACAAAAAAATAATTTGTCAATGACGTCATATTTTTCCAAAAATTTGTGTTTTTCTTTTTGTCGGCATAGTTATGAGACAGAATCTACTATTCTTGCAAAATATTATAGTGTTTGGTGATAACCATAATCCACTCATAACACTATGAGTGTTAAAACAAGCTTATAAAATAGCCGTTTAGATTTAAAATAATTACGAGCAAGTCGTTATATAATTGTTGTTTTTAATTCGTAGAATTTAAATGGCACATAGTCATGAAGTATGAAATTTAATGAAACCAAAAAAAAAAAAAATTAAATACGCCAGCAATATTAAATGAAGGTGGTTCCAAGATTTCATTGGTTCTACAGTTCAATGTTTTTGCCATATTTGAAATTAATCCACATTGGGCGTCATGGTGGAAACGTAATTTCAAAGGATGTAGGAAAATGTCAAGTCAATGCGTAGGAGAATGAAGGGGATTTTTTCTGTTCCACGTTAGTGTAGTAAGAATGGGCATTTCACCAAAGCAGATGACATTACATGAAAAAAATAATTATGTATTTGATGAAGACCTGTCGTGGTCGTGTAATAGAGATTTACTCCGATAATTATCGAAGAAAGCTGAATCATGTAGCCATAAATATTACTTCAACATACAATACTCAACGAAATCATTATCGACAAACAAATAAATGTAAATGTAGGAAAGTAATAAAGTCGGGCGGGACCCACCATCGGATTTATACGCCCTATATCGCTTTGGTGACATTTAGCAGTAAAAAAATATTTTGCTATTTTTTTTTTTTTTTGTTTGGTGCATAAAGTTGTGAGTAACAGGGTGTTAAAAATGGAAGTGAAAAAAGAGAAAATTCGGAAATTTTACACTTTTTCTTTGGCAAAGGTGTTTATGGTTCCGATACTGTAACAGCCAATTATGTGGTTTCGTAGATTCCGTTCAGGAATTTTTGATGTTAAAGATGCACCTCGCATAGGTAGTCCGGTCGTCGAAAATGTCGATAAAAGATCGAAATTGAATGGCATGTTAACAGTCGTATCATCGCCCAGGAGGATTGTGATTGTGAAAATCGACTACTAGGGTTTTTCAAATAGAAAGCAGGACTTCTATGAGAGAGGCATTTTGAAATTATTATACAACAAAACGGTGCATATTTGGCCCAAATCGGACATTTCGAAGCATGTTAAATAAGGTCCTATACTTCATATAAAAAAATAATGGATTTTTCCCCAACCTAATATATATAGATATGGGAAATATCTCAACCCTTGAATATATTTCAATCTAACTTGACATAAGTTTTTACCCTCTCAATCTTTTGTGCAAAATTTCGAGCTCAATGTCGAGCTAAATCTATATCTTAGCCAGACTTGACTCAAATAAATCTGGATTCAATTTCGTCGCCTATTCAAAATATATCCGAAAAGGCTATATTACATCTTCTATACTAACTTAAATTGTATGTGAAAAATATCGTGTCGATCAGACAGATGTAGCATCTATGAATTCGAACGAAATTATATATGTGGTCATTTTAGCGAGACTTCAGTGATGCATGACCTATATAAAGATTTCGGTCAAATGTATTTCTGTCGATATATATCCCAAAATTTCTGATGGCTCTGAATAATTTTATTCTGGAGGTCAAAAAATATGTCCGCAGAAAATATTTCTGATGTGTTGCAATGTAGACAAATCTGAAATGCAGTGTCAGTTAGTTTAACTGATAGCTTATCTAGAAAACGTTAGTACAGGCTCGAATGAAATCCTTATATAAAATGTTCTGTTAGCAAGTAGGTTAACTGCTCAATAAGTCGATTGTTATCTACTTAGTTCCTGAAGCCTGAAATATGTGTTTGATGGTCTCGCTAGCATGGTTGAATTGTACATTCCGATTCTATTTCTGCCGGCATAAATAGAAGTTAATAGAATTTTAAATTAATATATGCAATTCTCATAAAAAAGCAAGGTGTTCCCTCAAAACAATTCTTTCACAATTACACATCTGAGCAGAAGCCCCCTCTGGCTACGTCGCTAGTATGGTGGGTATATTAATTTTGTTTTTCCGTTAGTAGAAATAATTATTTCCGACTCTATAATCAGCGTCAAATTTAAGTTGTAATCACTCTTGCGTCTAAACGAATTGAGAGAGATCGCCAAAATTTAGCATTTAGTCGTCATTTGTTTGCAAGCAGGTCAAGTTCGAAGCTGGGCTATATCGGTCCACGTTTAGGCATAGCTCCCACATATGATTACCACCCCCACAATTTTTTGGTATTTTGCGGTTCTTGAGTGCGTTTTTCAACGGAATTCGCTCCACTAAAAATTATAAATATAGGTCAACTGTTTCTGGTAGCCCCATATAACGATACCCCGCATTCGATATTTTGGGGTATACATGTTTTACACTACCATGATTTAATAATATAGGTCAACATTTTGGGGTTTTGAGATTTTAGGGAAGCCCCACATTGAAATTGCGGAATTTTGTATTCCTATGGTGGAGGGTATCCAAAGTTCGATCCGATCGAACTTTACGCATTTTTAAACTTGTTTTTTTTAACATTTTTAATTATGGTTTTAGTTAAATTGCAATTGTAGGAAAAACAGCAGTTGAACATTTAGGGGTAGCTTCCTTGGACGGTGTATTCTAAAATAAACAAGTTAAAACGACGTTAAGTTTGGCTTGGCCGAACTTTTTATACCCTCCACCATGAGGATGAAATTCAAAATATATAAAATTATTGATAGGAACTTGAATATGCCGAAAAAGACATGAGAAAAAGATGATTACACAATAGGGGAACTGGCGTTATGCGGCTTTACCAATACGAAGATCAATGTTGATCATTTCGGGCAGTGAAACCATTTTTAGTATAGAGATGTGGGGGTACCGTTATATGATAGCTACACTCAAACTTGGTTGAATATTAATAATTTTAGTACCCAAATACCAAATTACAGCTAATTTAATTTAAAAACATGAAACATGCTATGTAATGAGAACCCCAAAATTACAGCAACTTCGACTGAAGTGGAAACTTGAATCATTTTTTTTATGTTTATATGTGCCTTATAATGAGAACACAAAATGCGATATTAGAACTAATTCGGTTGGAAAACGTGTTCCAAATCCCCAAAATACCCAATATTGCGGGGTATCGTTATGTGGGAGAGTTACACCAAAACGTTGACGGATATATCCCATGTCTGTGCAAAATTTCTGAGCTCTATTTTAAACATTGCGATCCTTATCTTGATTTAAACAGGCGGAAACGCATAACAAGATATAGAATTTTATCCTGATCAAAATATATATACTTTATGGGGTCTCGGGTCAATATGTCGAGGTGTTGCAAACGGAATGACAAATTTAATATACGCTACACCTTATTGTGGTAGGTATAAAAAGTTCGAATGCTGGTCAAGGCGAAACCAAAGGTATTTTCGTGTTCCAGGGACTCCAACTAAACTGAATTGGTACATTAGATCCGCTGAATAATTTTTGTTGTTGTTGTTTTGTAGAACAGTGTTATTGCGGCTTTCCTTTTCATTGCAAAACTTCGATTATTAAGCTCGACTCGAAAGAGAAACACTTACTTAAAAATCATGTAATTGATCATCGCTCTTACAGACAAAATTCAAATAAATAAAATTTTACCGTATATGTGTGTTACACATTCAGTAACTCGTCACATTTTCATTTTCAAAATTTTCCATTTGCTTTTCAATAAAGTCATCACTAACAATTTTCCAATTAACCTAACAAATGCCCAACTATTTACCAAATTCTTTGAATGAAAATGTTAAACGCCGTTCATTTCTAATTAGCGTTAAATTGATTTCTAATTACCTTCATTTATAAATTATGCAAAACTTCTTTCTTTCTTTCTACTTACTCTCAGTGTGCACGACATGACCGCCTCCTGATGGCTTGCCGCCGCTACTACTGCTGCCACCTGACGAAGCACCGGAGAGGGAGGCGAATTTAGCAAAGACACCACCACCACCGCCGTGGCTGCTGCCGCCATGGCCGCTGGGTATGGGATGCAGTTTCGATTGTGCCGAATTAATAATGTACTTGCCAACGTCGGTAACCTTGTCACCGGATGCAGCAACCAAATTGCCACTGGCACTGAGAGCATAACCACTGCCCTTAATCAGTTGACCCTTGAGGGCTGTCACACCGCCGGTAATCGCCTTCACCGCCTGGAATATGGTGTTCAAGACAGACTTTTTCAAAGACCATGGATCGAATTCAACGTGGCCATGTATCTGTGGAAGTGGTAGAAAGAAAGAAACCAAAGGGAAATAGTGAAACAAAATGAATTAACATGCCAGTCGCTCGTTCGTTCGATGATACATTTCATTGGGTAACACCACATTTGCAAATGAACGAAAAAAAAACAAAAATCGAGAAATGAAACACTTACATGATGTCCATCTCCATGGGGTTTATAAGCATAACCACCGCCACTGCTACCACCCGAACTGCTGGATGCTATCGAGGCAGAGGCATGCCCCAGACCGGACAGTAAACCGGATTTCAAATGTAACGCATAATCAGTGCTGCCCGAACGCTTTTGCAATTGTGAATCTTTGGCACTGGCAGCTTCGTCGTTATCCACAACCCCAACGTCGTCCAGGGGTAGAGATTTTTCCTCGGCAGCAGGATATGTGTGTGTTAGCAATGGCAACGTTAGTGTCAGCGTCAGCAACAGCTGTAAATACTGTAAAAAAACGAGAAAAAAACAACAACAAATCAGATTTTGCAACTTAAAACAAAAAGTTGTTACTTTTGTAATAGTGAATTTTATCAAGAAATTAAAGTGTCTCCGTTTGTGTCGTTATGTCATTAAATTTCTGTCACTGCACAGACGCGGACAGATGTATGGATGGATGTACGTACGTATGGGTGTAAAGAGGGGACTTGTTGGGACGACATGGTGCTTTTTTACTGTTTCAGTCACGTAGAGAACATTATGAGCGAATTTCTGTTGAAATCCATTGAGAAAGCCTTTCAACGGTTAGCTATTCGTTAATTGTTGTCTGTGGTGCGTTAAACCTGGGATGGATGCCAAGTGTTGGAGTGAAAATTGTTTTCTTATTTCAAAATTTATGACGAAAAAATGTATGCGAGTGTTTGGTGATATTATAAAAAAAAAGTTTTTTAGGTTTGGATTTGTAGATTTTTTAAATATGTTTTTATATAAAAATTACGAGAATGGCGCCCTTATATTTATTCAGCGACTTAACTTAATAACTACCATTATTCAGACGGATTCTTTCAGTGAAATTTTCTACTCACTGAATGAGGGTAGAAAATACCAAAGACTAATTGAAATCAATATAATAATTTGTTATTTTGGTTTGCGGAGGTCACTGGCTAGTTTCGAGTTGGATAATTATACCCTATACAAATATGCTGTCAGGGTATTACAGCTTTGTGAAGCCCCAAGAGTTTGTAAGCCGCTAAATATTGGTCCTACCACCCTTTAAGTATACCGATCTTGACTAGCTGAATCGATCTAGACATGTGTGTCACGATACAGCCACAGTTATGGACAATCGTCACGAAATTATGCATGTAGGATGGGTTCTGTCCAAAGTGGAATCCTCTTGTTTTTGATAATATTAGGGGGTGAAATGGACCAAAAACGTTATTTTTTGTCCGTTTTTCTGGTCGCTCTAGAGGACACAATTATGACCGAACGTCAAGAAATTTTGTACAGAGAAAGGGGTCTCTCCATAGAATAAGCTCGACTGTTTTATGAATATCGGTCAATATTGTATTCTGGGGCGTTTATATTTACTCCTGAAGGGCATATACCCGATAAGATGATAGTATATTCAGGAGGAGTTGATGGCCTTTAATTGATAGCAACTATGTTGTTGTATGTACTCGGATGTGGTAGTTATACTTAAATAGGACGAGATGTCGCGCTGATGGCTAGAAAATTGTTTATGGTCAAGGACGACGCTTATAAATTTTCGGAAAAGATCGGATGTTATTTAAAGGATGAAATGTACCGAAAACTTGTGTTTTTCAAATCGCTCTATAAACGACATGGGAAATGACCTGGGAATCGGTCAAATATAGCGAAATAATTTCGTATTTCAACTGAATTTAAAATAATAATATAATATGATCTCATCTACATACAAAAATGATCAATATCTGTCCTCGTTCTGGCCCTCATATAACAGTTCCCCCAATTTTTATTATTTTGACTATTTCAGTACGTCCAAGGTCCTAGCGCAATTTTCCAAACTGAGAGTTCGTAGTTTGATATTTCGATTTCCCCTGCATCATTTTACATGACATATTAAAGTTCTGACAGATTTTAGTTATTTTGATTTTGTAACTCACAATAAAGCCTATAAAAAAGTTCGGACCGGACTAAGTAAAGCGTTTTTATATGTTTGTAATTAAGTACAAAATTCTTAGAAAATGTCGATCTTTTTTGACCATAATAAAGTGCACGCAAACGATGTGTTCAATACAATTAAGGTAGCAAGAGAAGCGAGGATGTTGCTTAAACGCTCATAACGAATTCCAATTATTTATTTGTGCTTTTCTGATTTGAAAAATACTTCTTTAAGAAAACCAATATCCGTTAACTGCGTTTCCTCCATATTCCAACCAAATGTAATAATTCTCTCATGTCTTCATTATTAGCTGTCATTCACAAAAAGTCATGTGATTTTGTATGCATACAACACGGTTGCACGACACACAACATAAATTGCAATCATATTCTTAGCCAACATTATATGTACATATACGAATCTGATTTAATTATTAACTCATGCAAATGTAATTTTGTATTGGGTATACTTCTTGTTTGGAAAAATAACAAAAAAGACTCTGCGATGCAGATAATAATTTGTATGTAAGCGCGTGTATGTGTGTGTGCACGCTAACCGCATTTGTATGAGTGTCATTAAAATTATGACAAGTGTTTCGTTTGAATGATATTAACGAGCGTTTTGTTACACAATTGAAAATGTTCATGCAAAGACTTCATAAATTGTACATCACCATTCGCCTTTCTTCAAAAAAATATTTATTTTCGGTTTATTTGTCTGCTGAATGATTGGCGGTTGTTTTCCATTCGTTCACAATTAAATGCGTCATTATTGTCTGAACTAGTTGATATTAAATGTAGTAAGAATGGTTTTCGGAAAATTTTGGTAAATTATCAAGAAATGACTGAAGAAAATTATCTTGACTTTAAAGTCTTTAAGATGTAAGAATGTCAATTGAATTTAACTAACTCAATATATTGGGACAAGGACACAAACGAATATGATATGGACATAGTGGAAACTTTATTGATTTAAGATATTTCTAAGAATTGAATAAAATTGTTGTAATTTATAATACAGATTTAAAGAAAATATAATGTTATTAACAATTAAAAACACACTTGGTAATATGAATATTTGTTTGGTATTCTCTATATTCTATTGTGTTAAGTGTTTTTTTATTTTATTTCTCACTACAATTAATGATTAAAAAAAGAACACAAAATAGTAAGTAAATTACTTTGCAACACTTTTCACCATTGGTATTTTTATGTCAGTAATTTGAAAATACCTTAACAGTTTTAAAAATGTAGAACAGTAACACATCACCAAATAATTATTAATTTTAAAGCATACTGCACTGTGGTACATATGTGCATATGTTTTTAATATACAAAAGAAAACAAGATGGACCCATAATAACTTTGTAGAATATGCATAGAATCATATGACCCGAATTGCATGATATGTGATTCAGCTCAAGTATTTGGCCTATTGAAATTGGTAAAAATTCGATCAGATAAACCTCGCCCGATTTTACAATAGTGCACCACAGTCCTAATGTTTTTCCCATTGAAGCAGAAAATTGTACTGCATACCAAAATGAACCTAGAATGACGTGTATAAAGCTATGTCGAAATATGTTCAGATTTAGACATAGCTCCCATATATGACTCTGTCCGAATTGATTTAAATGATGCACAAAACTCACATGAATTCAGGATTGCTGAAATCAATCCAGATTTATATTGATTTATATATATTTACTACTTTATTAACGATTCTCTATGGACAGGAATCCATTTTTCGGCAAAAATTCCATTTCAGGTAGACTTTCATATTAAAAACCAGTAAGGAAAGAAGTAAAGTCGGACTGGGCCGACTATATGATACCCTTCGCCACTTTGGGTATATTCAACATATGTATCCTAACCAGTGTTGCCAAAACTTCATTGAGAAAAAATGCTAGATTTTGTTGAAAAAGATGCTAAAAAGTGCTAAAAATTTTAGAAATGTGCCAGAAAAAAGTGCTAAAAATGAATATGAAGAATTTTGATTATAGTTTATATTTCCTAGAAAATTAAAGTAACGGTCACAGCTGTGAAACAGTTGTCACTATATTTTGAATATCGGGTTCTAGCCAGTTAAGACACTTATTGTGTTTAGTAAAATCGGTAAATATTTGGCTGTTGAAGTCAACCAAGAGCATTTTATATGTTTTTCTGGCCTCTCTAGAGATCCCAAAATTTGACATGGGGTTCTACATATTCTAATAGTGTTTAGTGTTACCATTACTACTCTAGATGATAGCTATCCAATTTGGCATAAAGTTCCGGTTATGGTGAAGTGCGACAATCTATAGTTTTGAACCGATGATTTTTATAAGATGAAATGCACAAAAAAGTGTGATTTTTGTCTAGATGCCACTTATACAACCCGAACACCAATAAACCAATAAATACGGGACATCTAGTCAACGAAAAAGCGTGGCTGCATTGATAATAATCTGTCAATATTTTTTAATTGAATGAACCAAGACTAGCAAGACATTTAAAAAAATTATTCCATGACATTTTTTACTGTCAAGAGAGGTAAAGCTGCCCTTTAAATTTATTTAAATTATATTGATTTGTATACACTAAGATGAAAAAATGTCATTTCGTTTGCAAAACCTCGAAATATTCCCCGGAGACACCACAAAGTATATAAATGTTATGTCGATTTACGCAAATCCGTCAGTCCGTCGTGCGTTGCGCATACATTGTTAGTACTCCTAGGGGGTACCCATATAACGCTACCCCCAATATTCGGTGTTTTGGGCATTTTTGACACACTTCCAATCAACTGGCTCTAATTTTGTATTTTGATTCTCATTGAATGACACATATCCGTGCCAAAAATTAGTAATATTGACCCAAGTTTCAGGTTATCCCACCATATAACGGTACCCCCGTTATATTTTTCTAACGTATTTGTTTTTTTTCTTTTTTTCAGGGTCCCATTATTTTAGATATTTAGGTTGTCATCCTCATGGTGGAGGTTATCAAAAGTTCGACCGAGCCGAACTTAACATCGTTTTTTAGTTATTATATTCTAATATTGTAGTATTATTATATATAACACCAGAAAGTGGATATCTCGCAGAACTTTTACCACACGGCAATTAGTTTCGCAGAAAATGTATGGATAGCCCCGCCCGACTATACTGCTCCACTCGCTAGAAAAATACATTGGAAAATCAAATCCAATATGGGAAACTTCAATGTGTCAATGTAAAATCGAAAAACGATAATTTTTTGGAGTGATACTAAAAATTTTGAAAAAATCCTAGAACAAAAAAATGCTAAAAAAAGTGCTAGGTGCTAGATCAATTTTGTTGGTGCTAAACGAGTTTAAAAAGTGCTAAATCTAGCACTAAAAG